ACTTGATTTTAATAGATTCATTCAAATAAAAAATTAAAAAATTCTAATATACAAATAATAAGGGAGAGAAATTAAGGTAAAAATAATATATAATAATAAAGATGAAATGAGTAACTAAGAAAAAAATATATTGCGGGAATAATAATGAGAGGGGGATTAATAACAAAGTAATTATAAATACACAGAGAAAAAATAATAGTGAATGTAAAGTAGATGATAAATCTTAACTATATATAAAATTTATATAACAACAAAATTTTTTAAAAATTTATAAGTAGATACCCGTTAAACATTAAAAAAATTCTCAATAGATATCAATTGACTTTTAAAACCATACATATTACAAAATATAGTTTAATCAAATATTACTATTCAAATATTAATAAAATTTGATTTCTTATTTATTTTATTTACGCTTTCTTATTGAGTTTTGACCCTATTTTTTGAAAATCCTTCTAATTAAAAAATAAAGGCCGAGGAGCTGCGGACGCTTGATTCCATTTTGAACTCTTGTTTCTTTTCTTAACGGTAAGCTATAGTGTTGGTCCTCAACTTTTTAAAATTTTTAAAATTTAGTTTTTATTTTAAAATTTTACAATTTGGTCCTTAATTAATAATTATTTCACCAGAATGTTCATCTTTTATTTTGTGAAACAAATGCATAATAGTAACGTAATTGTATAACAATGAAACAAACTAATAAATTCAAACCTAAACATGAAAGCATAAAATCCTAAACTTTTAAAAGGTTAGATGCTAAAATTATAATAATAAAAAATTAAAGGACTAAAATGATTTTAATCTACTAAATTTAGAGACCAACTAATAATTTAGTCATAAAATAAATGGAGAAAATGGAAGGAAAGACGTTTGTCACGTATTTCTTCCTCCGACTGACTTGATGAGTACGACGCCTTTAGCATTATGCGGTTTACTAGTATTGGTAATAAATTAAGAAAATTTGTCTTTATTTTTTAAGATTAAATTGATTAAATTTATATGCTTAAATCTTCTTTTATATTTTTCATTCAGAATTTTTTATGACTTAATGCATTTAAAAATAACGTGAGATATATTTATAGTTAATAATTATTATTGTAATTGTAATCATGAAAAAACATAAAATATCAAATAATAAATAAGAAGAGGAAAATTAGATAAAAAGATATATAATAATCGATGAAGATCCAATCGGTAACTAAAGAAAATAAAGAGGAAAGAATATAGGAATTGAAAGAATAATAATAGATAAATTATCAATGTAGAAAAGGAAAGTGAAAGCATATATAATTTAGAGTGATAAATGTATTGAGATAATATGAAATAATAAATTAGGAGATTTTGTTACAAGAGAAAAATAAAGAGGTTGAGTAAAGGTAAAGTAAAAATAAATATGAATAGGATAATGCTAAAAAGTTATATATTTTATGTTTTGCTTTAGAATATATGTAATATAGAA